TATCTTACTAGAACCTCCCCTCGCCTACGTCATATTTCGTGATTTTTTGTCAACTCCGCCTCCTTCCCCCTTGAAACTCACGTGATCAAAGGACACCCCTAAAGTGGCAATTTGCCTTGAGGCAGTTGTATAAATAATCGATTCAATAATAATAATTTGGACGGAAACGACTGGACCTGCCTTTTCCAAAAACTAGTCGGCACATCTCGCCGTCAATACGACTCGAATGTTTGTTGAATCATTCCAAACGGTTGATCCGCGCTTCCGACATCGTCTATGAAAGTTTGTATCCGCACATACATACATACAAACACGCTCATTAATTTTTATTTTTCTGAGCATTTTTTTGAAGTATGCCAAAATGTTCAAAAAACGTTGAAACGTGATGATATCCAAAACTTTTCATTTAAATTTTTTTGCGACCACCTTCATTGAGCAACAGTAATAATATACCTACTTATAAAATGGTAAACTCATAGATCATAATTGATTAATTGACCTTCAAGCTGGAATGATTAAAATTAGTTCCATTTATATACTTGGTATTTGTTTGGCTTATTTTTTCTTATATTAGGCAAAAGTGCAAATGTATATGTCTTAATTGCTCATTTAATAAAAAACTTATTAAATTTACTGGGGATTTGTAACGATTAATAACGAATGTTTTGCAAGGAATTCATTCCTAACCACGGAACAACAAATTATGTGTTTCAAAAACTATAAACAAATATTCATGCAGATATCGTCTAAACGAAACAATAGTTATGAAAAACGCAGTTATGAAAGAAATTATTTGTATACGCACAAAACTTCAAAGAAGTTCTATCTACAATCGAGTCCACAAAATACCAGAAAATTATTCAATTCTAAAAATCTTAGTTTTATTCTTCAATAACGTTTAATACCCGTTCGTAAAGAAAGACATGAAAAATGTTCCTATCTTTTCAATTTCCTTATTCTGTTCCATTCCAAGAACCGAGTTTTCTACTATGTATCGAAACGTTATATAAATCCTTGATGAAAACCAATCAAACATTTAAATTAGATATATTGCATTCAACAAAAAACGTTATGTTGGTTTATCTTCTATATATAAAAATGGATCGCAAAATGTGTTGGTAAGCGCATAACTCAACAACGCCTGGACCAATTTGGCCAATTCTTTTTTTAAAATGTTCGTTGATGTCCAAGGATGGTTCTTACGGCGAGAAAAAATCGAATAAATGCCGGGAAAACCCTAAAAACAGCCATTTTCTTTTTAATCGAGTAGGCAACAAAATTGTAGAAAAAACAATGATCTATGACATGACATTTTGTGTAGTTTTTGATAATCTAATTTTTAATAGATTTATATAAACATAAAAATATCTTGTATTAATTAACGAGCTATATTGGCAGTCAAAAACATTGATGTAAATGAATTAAATTTCAAAATTCAAGAACAAATTACAGGCGAATCAGTTGATTCGGCAACTAACCAAGACGATCCACCGGAGTTTTTAAACTCGCTGGATTTGCTAGGATTGTCACCTCACAATCTTCAATTAAAGATTGGTTCGGCAATTATAATGTTGCAAAATATCGACCAACCGCGCCTTTGCAACGGCAAAAGGTTAGCGATAAAAAAACTACCAAACAACGTGATGGAAGCAACTATATTGAAAGGATAGTATAAAGCAGAAGATGTTCTCGCGCCGTGCATCCCAATGATTCCGACTGATATGTCATTTGAGATTAAACGACTACAGTATCCAGTGCGTTTATGGTATCATTAAGTGTTTGTAGTATTAATTTGGAAAACCCATGTTTCTCACATGGAAAATTGTATGTTGTCTGCTCCCGTATTGGAAAACCATCAGATTTGTTTGTCTATCAAATCAAACAAAAAATATCGTTTATCACAAAGGACTACAATAAAAATTGAACTGATTTTTGAATTATGATTTACATGATTAAAATTACTCACTTTTAAATGCATATAGTGTTTTTTTTAATTATTTTTAATTCACAGCGAATTATTACCAGGGTGACGGTTCTGTTCAGGATAATTTTTTGCAAAGAATAGAAAAAAGGTAGGAACAAAACACCGCCACATTACAATTTTTTTGACAGGACGAAGTCTGTCGGGTCGGCTAGTTTTTAATAAACTGCGTATGACTGTATAATGGAATTACATCTAAGAGGCAATTACATCTATGAAACTTTTATAACATTGGGGCGAAATGAAAACGAAGGCAAAAGGAATACGAAAGTGTAAATAATTGTTTAATTATACTGAAACGTACTAAAAAGGTTTTAGAACCCGTTGTTGAGAATAGAGGTTAAGAAACCCTAGTAGATTCAATTTTAACCTCCGCCAACTCGATATTAAGCAATAAGATTAAATAAAATTTTCACTTGAAGTTATAGATCTCAAATATTATCTCAACTGTAAATAGCCTTTCGTGGGCTTTGCTACATAGAAACAAGAAGTCAAAAATACTGTCAATCTACTAGGTTGCCTGAAAATATCCATACTCTAAGTAAGATTAAAAAATAAATTATTATATGTCCCCACATTGTAATTAAAAAAAATCCTAGATGCAAAAACTTATGCTCCCAAAACAATATTCTCGGAGAAAGTAAATAAGAAATTTAATACCAAATTGTTGTACCAGAAAGAAAGTTAAAATAGAAATACCTTCCATATCTTTACGATTTCTGAATATTTAATAAAATATAATAGCATATTATATTTATGTGGAATCAAAATAAGAAACTGCTTGTTGAAAACATAAAGCGCCGATTAAAATTTTTTTTATTGTTTATTTGTTGACTTTGTATACACGTACATCAGTCATATACATTTTATAATTAATCTTTACACTTTTATTTTATTTGCTTGTATATAATTATATGGTGCACCCATATCCTTTTCTTTGTCAATGATGTTATAAAATTGGTTGGAAAGTTATCTCCCTCCATAGTTCTTGCCGATTAAGAATCAATTTGCAGTTTTGTGCGACAACCTGCCGAGCAGTTTCTTTGAAATTAGTAGAAACGTGGAAAAATTTTCAACCGATTATAAAATTCAAATACTGTTCGAATGATATTGTTTGGGAAGCGCCTTAGATAGTTTTTGGTAGAGATTGGCCGAGCCGTTTCATCGTAATTAAATGTAATTAAATTGAATTATGAATATTCGTATAACGATTGATTTCGTAATCTGAAATAACATACTAAAATGGTAGAGGCCTACGAAAATCGTATAAATTATAAAAATTCCTCAACGCGTGCATGAGTGATTCTAATCAGTATCTATGCCGAGCATATGTATACGTTGTGTATTTCGTGGGTAGCTACTGATTACAGTTTTTAAATCCACACTCAAATAAAATACATTTTCGGACCACAAAAAGGACATGTGTCAAACAAATTAATTTCATTTATACAATTGCAGATACTATAAGGAGGTGTCCATTA